TAGAAAATCCAATACGAATACTACTAGTACGAGAACTAGATACAAATCTGAAGAAGTACCAATACAAAAACAGTCGCATTCACAGGACAGCTTAATCAGAAGTTGTATAAGGTCTTCAGTGTAAACCAAACATTCTATTACTACAAAAGGAGTGTTTTTTAAATCTTTATTGAGGTAACATAATTAATATTGAGTCAATATCAAAATCGAGTTTGAAATAATCGTGACAACACTAAACAAACCTAAGTGACGTGTGTAATGGAAGTTGTTTGCATCAGTTGTGCCTCTTCTGCCTTAGAATAACAAAGGGACAAATGGAGCTGAGGCTGCTGAGGTGCTGCTCCCCTGTGGAGTCTGTTTGGAACTCTTTCTTTACAAAATCCTCTCACAACTAAAGGCCTGGGCCCCACCCGCAGGATCAGCCCCCTCCCGACCACCCCCTCCCATGTCATTATAGCTGATTTTCTAAAAGCTTAAATTTTTTGGGTTTAGTCTGATCAAATCCACTCTGCTGCTTTCACTGCTGAGGTGGTCACTTGTACAGATGTGTGCACGCTTTGGCTTTGTGCTGGCGTCTCTCTCTCTGTGTCTGGAGACCACCTGCTGGGCCTCACTGCTTTCTAAATGACAAACACACTGCAGAGCCTCAGCAGGCCTGCACAGGAAACAGATCAGCTCAATCATCATATAAAATACCAGTCTGCCCACCTCTCTGTGAGGGAAAAACTATACTTGGTCTGCCGCTTTAGCCTGACTAAGCATAGTGGCTAAGCAAATCACTATATCAACCGGCTTTATGCTCTCCTATGGGAGGGTGAAGAATGAAGAAATGCTCCAAAGTTTTTGTAACCAAACTAGACAACTAAACATTTCCATATTCACACATTCTGTCTGTCTGTTTACAGTAAAATGTTTTAATTTGTCTGACTTTATTTAGCACTTCCTCTGTTTAGGAGGACATGTTCTTGCTCTGGTCTCTGCAGCAGGGTGGCTGTGCAGCTCAGCTTTGTCCATTATAATGACTGCGTCCTGTGCTTGACGTGTGCCAGTCTGAGCTGGGCACAGTGCCCTGGACATGTCTAATCCTCAGAGTGGACACAGCTCCAACGCACCATTGCTGAATCTCTTTATATGACCCGGCTGTGCACCTGGAGGCTCCTCTGGCACATAAACATACACACACAGGGTTTTACTCACAGACACATTGTGTAATGGTCAAATAGTATTCTGCAATAGAAATACTGTTGTCAGACAAGAGTCTATATAAGGATGATGTTTAACAAAAAAGCAAACATGCCTGGCAATTTAAGAACATTTTTAAATCAATAAAAGGTTGTAAATCTTTCTTTCACTTATACTTTGTAATAACACTGTTACATTGTAGGTGAATGTTTCTAAAATATCAAAGATAAAAGACAGTTGTGTTCTCTGTCCCTCTCTCGTAGGCTAGGCTTTGTATGATAACAGCCCTCCAGAATCTTTCAAACTTCATGTTCATCCCCTGATATTCCCTCAGGGAAATTAAGGATTAGCACAGTCTTTCTAATAGGCATTCCTCCGTTCACATGAATGTGTCCCCTCCCAAACTAAATCCATGGTGCCCCTGCCCCACCACAGGCCCTAAGCTGCCCCTGCCACAGGGCTGTGGAGAGTAAGAGGATGAAGTCTGACTCATGCCCCTCTGTGCCACACTGCCAAAGACCTGAGAGGACGACCTGACACTCACTGACACAAGGATCACACCCAATTTAGGGGCAACACTACCGTGATAAGGGGCACTGCCCAATCCTGCGTAGGTGCAGAGACATCATAGATGTATGAACCCTGTGATTCATAACGCGTTGGCCTTCTCTTTGCTTCATGTTGTGGCCCCAAACAGAATTGCTTGATCATGGCAATCACTGCAATACATCACAGTTGTTATTTATGCATCTTACGCATTTGCCTGCATTTCCTCTGCTGTATGGTGATCGCCTGTGCCTGACTGAGGTCTCCACTTCTGCTAATGTTAATTTGTTTATGGGCTGTTGCTGCAAACCGTGCTGCCCCAGATTCACAGTTATGCAACATAGAGGTCTATGCTTTTATCTGCAAGATGCTGCCTAGTAGGGATAGACGAGCTGTCAAAAATTTTATATCATGGTTTCTTTTACGATTAGTATCTTTTTATATTGCCTTGATGAGGTTTCTAATGACATCTGCTTCTTCTGAAAGTTCACAATTCATTGCATTTGGTTAAATATACCTGTCACTCATGAGGACCATTGCTGATGCTGACCACAACCAAAAATCTGTGATTTACAATTGTAATTTTATCAACAAAGCATATTGCCCCAGGAATGAGATAACCATTAGATTTTTATCACTGTATCGCCCAGCCCTACTCTGCAGACCCTGTGAGGCGCTGGAGCCGCTCTAATTGTCACTTTCACATTTTTCCCTTTGCAGACTCACATTTATCAATCCTAAGTATTTCCTCCTACGTTTTCCCATTGCTGTACTTCCTGTTTGAACGCCCTGCTTTTGATCTGTCTGTATTTACAGCGGCCTGGCTAACATGAGAGTCTGCTTTGAGAATAGCCTGGGTCTGCGCGGTCTGGATCGGTCCTGCCTGTTGTCGACTCCATTGTTGTGTTGTCCGTGGAGCTCTGTGAGACACTTGTTTAATGCGACGCCTCTGACTGTGTAATTGTAGGCTGCTCCTCCACACTCTTTATGGGAGATGGATGTGGAGGGACACAAACAGAGATGGCTATTGCAAAACACAGCACCAAGAATGTGTCCAATGTTAGTGGAGTCTTTGTCTGCTACACCTTCAGTGATGACACTATATGGACATGCTGTTATATTGATTGTTTTCTCTCTTTTTTTTTTCTCACTCAGATGCAAGTCCAAATTATACTACATCTCAATTCACTATATCACCTGACTTGTGTGTATTTCGTTTGAAAATAGTCTCAAATGAAATGGTTAAGGATGAGAGAAGATCCTATGCCACAAGAATTCTCAAGATGAAAATGTCAGATTTTTTTTTTTTTAAGTGTTCCAGAAATAAAGATTTAAGATTTGTATACATAATTCAAAAATAAAATCCATTAATGATATCTATTTTTAATAAATATGGAAGTATTTGAATTAATGTATACAAAATTTGAAATTCTTGTCTTTTTCTTGTGGAATCAATCTCATGTCTCATCTCATTCAGTTATATTCCAATTCTATATTAAACAAAATGACACATATCTGGCTGTTTCTTTATATTACAACCTTTCTGAACATTTAACATGCCTGCATATTGTATTCAAATGCATTTGATGCTTTCATCTATGTTAGTTTCCTGACCTAGCCCTCATTCACTCCTATATAAAATTCTCCTTTAGATTTGGTTCACCAGTGCTGGGATTTCCTCAGCATGATTTATTTAGGCTGTGCTAAGCTTTTTCACATCTCAACATCGTCTAGCTGCTCCATCCTTCTAAACCCCCCTCCCTCTCCCTCTCTCCCTCCATCTCTCCTCTTTGACACATACGATGATGCTTTGCCAAAATGGAAACTACTGCAACCTGATTCTGGTCGGCACTCAGTATAAAAGCTGTCTTCCATTTCCTGCTACTCTTCTTGTGACTATCTTGTTGTTGTAGTTTAAACCTGAAGGACTGTCAGGGTTAAACATCAACTCGACAGCCTGAACTGAGCGGAGAGATGCTCTTCAGTGATGCTGCTGTCTCTGCCTCCCTTTTTATACCACTCTGAGTCTGTCCTGTGTCTGTCAGTGAATATATTTGTGTGAATGCTAAATATTTTTCAGTTTTCAGCTAGTATTTATAAAATGTTTGTATACTTGGTAAAAGCCTGAAAGGGTTGAAATTCAAGGTGGACACTGAGTCTTATATCAAATTACTGATAATTTTGTGAATGTTGTTTTGATCATTTTCAGAATTTGGTATTATATGTAAATCAGTAAGTTGCTGATCAAACATAAAAAGGGAACCTCATCTTGGAATTCATGTTTTTCTTTCATATTTGTCTAATACTCAAATCTTTATGGACAAAATATCGTCTGAATATCATTAGTAGGATACTGAGGTATTTACTCACTGCTGTTGTTGCTGTTGTTATTGACAATTAGCAGTAGTCTACATTTTCTCATATATTAAAATCCTGTTCTAGTCCTTAGTGTTTAGTGTTTCCAGGTTTAGTGTTGACTGCTTGCTTGACCCCTTGCTGTGGTTTGTGTTTCATAATTTGAATCGTATTTCATATTATACCATTAAACCAGCAGAAATAATGAGACTAATCCTTACTAAATCATTTTCAAATGTCTGTTCCACCATCTTGTTTTGGTGTTCCCTTTGACCGGTCTGCTTGGGTATAAGCAGAGATGGTTATCAGTGCAAAGCCATCACTCCCACAGTTTACGGACTTTACAAAGGGACTGGCTGTGTTTGTGTGAGGTGTGTTTTAAATAATGGCTGACCATGTCCAGCACTGTGGCTAAGGCCTAAGGGGATGTATAAAACCTGCTGAACCTGTAGTTTCAACCTCAACCAACATATTCTGATAGTCATATGATTATCTTGATGATCTTTTAGTTTCAAGTGAATTTTTAGTCTTCTCTTGAATGTTCAGCCTTCTTGTACTTAAAATGTAAAAGGACAGGTTAGCAAATGGCAAAGGTTCCAGTTGTTGAAGTACCATCATTTCATCCACGAATGACAAAATATCCTGTCTTAATCTGCATAAATTCTACTAATATTGTAGCTTTGATCAGTACAAACATGTTCAGAAATGTGTCTCATAATTTTTCCAGTTCATATTTCAGTCTTTTTGTCAATTCTTCTGGATGTGTTTAAAATGTAAACACTGAACAGATTCTTATTATTAAACCATAAATGTTAAATCTAATTGCAATTGTAATGCTTGTCAGAAAAATCGCAATACATCATTTTCCCAAATTATTCCGTGCTAACATACAAACAAAACATTTTTTTTCTCTACAGTATCTGGAGAGGCCCCAACGTGAACTGCGTTGACAGCACCGGCTACACTCCCCTGCACCACGCGGCTCTCAATGGACACAGGTAAATCACTGCTGTTGCATTCACTTAACTGACCTGCTGTCAACTGTCCCACTGGGAGCATGAAGCTATTGACGGTGCATTCATTATGGTGGTTTTTCTCAACCTCGTGTATTGATCCATGTGTACAGCGAGGTGGTGGAGGCTCTGCTTAGGAACGAAGCCCTGACCAACATCGCCGACAATAAGGGCTGCTACCCGCTGCACCTGGCCGCATGGAAGGGAGACCAGCAAATAGTACGGATGCTAATACACCAGGGACCCTCACACCCCAAGCTCAATGAACAGGTTTGGCTGGCTATTTCTATTTTGATTTGAATTTATACAGAGGTGCATTTATAAGTAAAGTGGGAAAGTAAATTTATTTCAGTAGTTCTAATCCAAAATGTTATGCTGTATACATGTTTCTATTTTAACGGACCTGTATTACACAACAATGGCTCTTGTGAAATTTAAGCCATGTTATAATATTGTTACTTCCTCAAAAACATACCTGGAGTTGTGTTTTGTTTCATTCACACATGTGTAATCCTATATTATTAGTCTGGCTAAGTATCCAAAAGTCAAGCTCTGTTCCACCTTGCAATATCATGTAGTGGTAGTTTTCAAGTGAATTGCTACCTTTTACATTTAGTTAAGTAGAGATTGGTGATTCCAGGGCTGAAATTATCTAACTGATTCGAGTGAAGTTTAAAAACAGAGTGGACCACCTCCTGTACTGAGTGTTTTTTGTTTGTGTGCTAAACATGTGTGAATGAAACAGAACACAACTCCTGGTATGTTTTTGATGTGGAAAAGACATTATAACATAGATCAGAAAATAGCATAATAAGTGCTCTTTAATACAATTTGCGGAGTGTAAATGTCACTTATTGCCTCTACTCATAAAAAAAACTATAATTATGACAACAGTCCAGAAGTATAATTTGTTTTACCAAATCTTTGGTCACTTTGTTTGTAGCCTGTGGAGGCAAAAGTTAAGACTACTTTGGGGCACTACAGTCGCATCTATAGAAGGCAAACACAGATTTATTTAGTTTAAGGCATAACATTTTTGCTGGATTTTTATGAACTGCAATCATAAGATATGTGACCTGTACATTCTCTTTGATGAATTATAATTGCTACTGGGAACTACTGAAATACATTCACTTTCACTTTACTTTTATTTTTTGAGACATAATTAGTGAAATGATGTGATTACAATGCTTTCCAGTGAAATCTCTTGAAAAAAATAAATTTTATATCAAATAGTCGTTTGGCATGGCATGTCCGCACCACGTGATATGTCTCATTTTAACATTAGCATCATGTCTGTTTATGTATAACCTGATGTGCTTTTGCATAGCTAGACTTGTGCCTGCTCCTTTAACCATTTTAACCACATGTTTGATATTATTTCCTATTGCACAGAGCAGCATAATCAGAGATATGACTCACTGTGAGTGTTAGATAATCATATCTGAAAGAATCAAGCAATGGAAGACATCATAATTACATTTATGAACTAATTTTTATATAGTTTCTTTTCCTCATGACTTGTGTACATTAACTTGTTTTTCCTCCATTTTAGTTTGACCTATCTGTGATCACCATTTGTTTGTTTATTGCTTGTTTTCAACTCGAATCATGCGCCTGTGTCTTCCTCAGAGCTGTGTAGACCAAAAAGAGTTCAAGCGCTGTGGGCCCTTTGACCCCTATATTAATGCCAAGGTGTGTACCCAGTGCTACGCAAACAACCCTATGCTTTTCCACTGCTCCTCCTGCTTTGGGCTGCTGTGGCTTTGCTGTGCTTTGGTGCTGCACTTTGGGGAACTTCTTTACCGTAATCTCCAAAATTAACTTAAACAGGATGATGTGGTTATAGGTCTGTCATGATAATTACTATATTATATTATATTTGTCGACTACTATAACAATCATTCAAAAAAATAATATATATATAATATATATAAAAAAAATATATATATATATATATATATATATATATATATATATATATATATATATATATATATATATATATATATATATTTTATTTTTTTATTTTTTGTAGTACCTTACAATTGGTGCAGTTGAAAGATGAACAACTATCTTCTACCACAAATTATATGAACAAATTATTGTTTCATTCTTCCTTATTGCAGCCCATGCTTATTGTACATTTAGAATAAGTTTTGGGGGATAATCCTGCTTTAGGTTTCTTGTGTCAGTGTATAAATTAGTTCCATTATTATCGTTTATGGTCTATATTTTCTTCAGCAATATATCACACTTCAAAATTAGTTATCATGACAGGCCTAGTGGTGTGTAACTGTAAGTGCATGTCAGCATTTCAGTTATGGAGTGAGTCAAGGTTTGAACAAAGAATTGATTTTTGAAAAACTTTGCAGCCGCAAAGCCAAAATATATTGGCACTGTCCCGGCAGCATTGGGGGAAAGTATTGACTGATCTAAACCACACCATCAATAATGCTGCCACAGCTCTTATGGTATTTAAAAATCACTATATTGAGAATTAGTAACCACAAACTGAAAACTGATTTTATAAATTAGATTAATTGTAGTTATGTGACTAAAACACTGTTCTTAGTGTAAAAGAAAACTCTTTAGAACAATTTAAAATGGGTGCAACAGTAGCTCACTTGGTAGGTGATCTGATCCCGGGTCTCTGAATATCATGTCCATGGGCAAGACACTTAACTGACCTCGCTTTCAGTATTTGTGTATGCTGTTGTATGTGTGTGAATGGGTGAGTGGTTCTTTGATGTAAAATACCATAAAAGGTATAAAAGTGCTATATTAAAATGTGACCGTTTTAGCAAATCTCACATCAACATATCACATTGCTGTAGGCTTTATGAAAATTTAAAACTGCCAAGTTTCTTCATGTATTTATGTTTTAGTAGACTATAAGATGGAATGACATTTTGAAAGCAGATTTTTAAAATTTGGAATAGTACAAGGTAACATTATTAAGTGTACAAATTTGTATTGTAGTCAATGTGTCAGTTCTCGTGAATAGTATCTTTATTACTGGGCTGTAAAATGAATATGTGGCTTATCATGCACCCTTTTTGGCTCAGAGAAATCATATTTTAGTCCTAAAATGTCTTTGGATGCCACAATATAAAATTCATTGCTACTGTCTAAAAAATTACCACTCCTCTACCATCTAGCCAGCTTTATGAAATCAGACTTTATGAGTGATTAATTATGATTTTATTTTTACCCGAATAATTATGATTTATATTGATTTACCAAATAATCTAAACAGCCCCAGCCTTAACATAAAAGAACTATTGACTATAAAACTGTCTTCCACACTGATATTGGTGTAATTGACCCAAAAGTGCCCATATGCCAGTATGGCAGTGTCTCATCTGCATTTCAACACTCGTGTGAACATTTGGAGCACCATGATAGTGTTTTCGGCACTGAGCTGGAAACCCGTATGACTGGCAAATCCTGGCGGCTGCATCCTATTTTTGAACATTGTCACATTACCCCTGCTCTAATCTTCTTACTGTTGTGTGGTTCGGAGGCCTGTTTTTCTTTAAAGTCTCTCTCCCTCCATATATCCCAATGTGAATCCTGCCTGGAGCATTTCACACACTGCAGCTGGATTATGTCTTGCTCCCTTCAGGATTATTCCGGATGTCTTGGCGTAAATATGACCCCTAAGTGACGTTTTTGGGGCCACCTGGTTCTTATTGGTTAATATTTAATGTGTTGTTATGAATAAATCAGAAATGTAGTATAGCTGTGTGGCTGCTCTGCTTGAGTTGTGGTCAGAAAGAGTGTAATGAGGGGATTTAAGCAATTTGGATCAAATTTATATTGATTGCCTTGGTTTGTTTGAATGGAAGTGCAGTGTGCATGCTGAAAGGAGATTGCAGCAAACAATTCAGTCAAATGTGATGTTTAGGGAAAAGGTAAACTGGTTGAAAGAGGTTGCAGTTGCGTTAATGTGGAGACTATATAAACAATATAGTAGTCTAGTTGTTAAAAAATAGCTTTATTCTTAGGCTTGGCAAGTTACTGGTATATTTTTTTCCACAAGGAGGAGCTTTTTAGTACGATCTGTACCTTTTTAGGTAAGAGCTAAACTACCGTAACATTCATATTTGTGCACATTTGTTAATATTATGTAAAAATGTATAGTTCGATAAAATACTTTTATTTTCTCCAATATCCATGAGTTTCAGAATAATGGAAAATTTGTCCCATTGCCAGAGTCATAAATATTATCTTTTGAATGGTGAAAACTCCTTAAAATATCACCAATAGGAAACTTAAAAATTTTGTTATTTTTATATAGTATAATCAAATTTTTGTGATATACTAAATTTGTTTCCTATCATTTACACATCTTCAGATCAAGTTGATGTGTGTCCTACGCTATCTCTATGTGGACCACATGTGTATTCTACATTATGAGTTCAGCTGAGTTCTTGTGACCCGTGTGTCCGGACACTGCGGCAGTTTGTCCATTCAAAAAGTCCTGCAGTACATTAGCACAGTAACATGTTTTATGGAGGTAAACTGGCACGCCTTTCTGTATCATTTCTTATGTCTAAAGTGTCTCCAGTTTGACAGCAGTGGAATAAGTCAATGCTTTGGACGTGGTCACCTCATTATCACCTGATGCCTCTCTTTTCACAGTATGGCAGAGTGCTTATTTATGTCAGACGCCTTACCTGCCAAGAAACTGCTGTCACTGATTTGAAATGCCCTCCAGGGGACCTCTTGTTAATTGACATCAAAATTCTCTCTCTTTGGACATTTGTATCTTAAGTATAGTAGAATGGATGAATATATTTCAATCAGGTCTTTTACTCCCAAAAAGAGTGTCCCAGTTAATTAAATGAAAAGCGTGAGGTAGTTGTAATCTTTGCTGTAAAAGGAGAAAAAGTCTCCCTGTATAGAGAATTATAGTGCGTGGCAGGAAGCCAGTCAGACATTCATCTTATTACTGGGCTGCAAAGTTTGTTCACCCAGGAATGTATGACACCGAGCAACCATGAGGCTAGTGTTAGAATGGCCTTTATACCAATCTGCTTCAAACATGTTTAAATTAGAGGTATGAAGATTTGTATTTCTCCAGACACTCTCATGACTCCTTGTGTGCTGTCGTCATTTGGCTTTTTATGTCAGATGCCCTTTCTTCTGTTCATTCATTTTACACATTTTGTTTTAGACTGGCTTAAAAGCTTCACATTTGAGCCATAATTCAATGTGGGACAATGTAAACAAAATCATACACTGGTGATGTGCACCTCCTGCCACCTGCAAGCCGTGGAGGCAGAAAGTTAAAGCCACACTTCAGGAACATCTAACATCTCCATGAAGACAAGCAGGTGTCTGAGAACCAAGACCCTTTATAGTAAGGCTGCATGTTTTTTGAGGTATTTTAATGCAAGGTAATGACCCTTTTTTGGCTGATATGTTTCCAAGTGGACCTTTTAAAATGATGCAGAAAAGCTTAAATTTGTCATATGCTGTAGTTACCAGTCACTACATTCATATCATGCTGCTCCAGCTCTGTATGCATCTCAATGGTGAGGAAGCCGTCTCTGTGAGTGCAAGTATCCGATTGTGCCTGACAGTAGGGGCTGTGTGCAGAGAGCGTGGCTAGCCCTTTGGCACACACGCCGTAACAGCTGCCCAGCCCACCCTTATACCCCCCCTCTTCCATGCCCCCCTCCACCCTCCTACACCCTCCTACACCATGGCACCACCACCCAGCTCTGCTCCAGCTGCTACAGGGGCAGACGCAGCCACATAAGCCCAGGCTCAGCCCCTCCTCTGCCAGCCTGCCACTCACGTGACACGAGCCGCTAGTCACAACACGTTACCATCTCTCCAGCCCCACAGGAAACGCAGCATCCCCTTTTCCTGCAGTTCTGTGTTGACTCTGAGCATCTTGAATGTTTGACATGGACAATTGCTATGTTTCAGATGACATCATGACATTCTATAGGCCAGTGATATTCATTTTAGTTTCCCCCATCTGTATTAAATATGATTAAAATGCTGTTTTTATTCTAATATAGTAAATTCTTGTGTCTAGTGGTCACTTATTCAAACCATCACCTTTCAAATATTTCATGTCAAAGTACAATGTAATCTATAGGAAAAATTCAGCTCTTGCCCCCATCTGGGAGTATGGCATAATCACATTCTAGAATCTGAAAACCACTGAAAGGAAAGGCTGGTGGGTCATACCTGAGGTGAACTTGGGTTTATCATTCCCAAACAGCATGGTTGGGATATTATGTAAAATGCTTTGAGTCTGCTAAGAGCTCTTTTGTCTCAAATGATAATTATATGAACTGATTTTGTTCAGAGACATACAGACAGAGTCATTCACTGTAGTCTTTCAGTGTTTTACACCTAAATATGGCAAACATTATTTGACTGACACAATATTTTTTTGTTATTGAGGCTTATGAAATTTGAATGTGTCTTAGAATTATTGCAGTTGTAGTTAGTTCATGAATTCAGATACATGTCAAATATTATTTAGAAATATCTGCAACAGTGGCATTTGTCAGTTGTGCCATTCAAATTGAAAGTTATATTCTTGCCAAGCCCTTTGGCAGAAAGACAGTCAACAGAATTAAAATTGCATTTTTGCATTTGTATTTGCGGGCTGTTATGTAATGTTTTTTATGCTGAGCTACTCCCACACATGCTGATTAATATTAACAAGATTATGTGTAGTTTGCTGAGTCATGTTGCACATACTTCAATTAGTATGGCATCTCAGGAAGCTCATAGACTGAGTTCAGCAGCAGTGAACAGCTCAGTGGGTCCTGGGTCATCCATGTAGTATGATGTAGTGTTTTGATATGTGCATGGGCATAGTGTCATGCAAAGGTTAAAGGGCCCATATTATGCTATTTTCTGCTCTATGTTCTAATGTTGTTTCCTCTAAAACGTGCCTGGAGTTGTGTTTTGTTTCATTCACATGTTTAATACACACATTCTGCATATATAGGCTGAATTCTTCTCTAAATCAGAAAACACTCACACACAATACAGGATCTACTGTATTTTTAAAAGTCCACACACCTTCACTAGAATTGCCAGTCTATACTGAACAAAACGTAAAAGGTAGTTGTTAACTTGAAAACTACCATCTACCACCACTACCACTAATGACATCACAAGGTGGAACAGAGCATTTTGAGCTTTGGAGATATAGACAGTCTAATAATGCAGGATTTCTCAAGCATGTGGGAATGAAACAAAACACAACTCTGGGTATGCTTTGAGGAGGTAACAACATTATAACTAAAGGCTCACAAGAGTCTATTTTGTGTAATATAGGACTCTTTATGTGTCAAAGCATCACTGTCTGAGCTCAAAGGAAGTACATTCTGATGGAGGTGACTCATGCTGATGTCATCCCTGTATATTTATGTCTTAAGTCATCCACGTGAGCGCTTTACCAGAGATTCGAGATGTGGCCATTTTAGCGAAATCTCTTCCTTTGTTTTGTTTTAATGAAAAAGTTATCTATGTCTTTTGCTTTTCTTTTAACAAAGGCCAACCTGTATTATTAAAACATCTCAAAAAAACATTTTACAAAAAGAATATGAAATTACAAGACAGGACAGTTACAGAGCAGTCTGTTCAACTTTGTTATTGTCATTTGTTATATTTTTTCGTCCCCAGACATAGGATCAGCCCAACACTCATTTTTGTTTTTTAAATTTATAATTATTATTTTTTTGAGTTACTAGAATATTCGTATTACAATGTTCTATACATTTCTCCGAATTAAAATAATGTATCAAATCATTTTTTGGTTAATTTTTATTTTGAATGACTTTCTTCTATTTATGACTTTTTATGGTAATATTTCTGATTCAGCAAAGACAAAACAAGTTTTTCTGAGGCTCTCCTTCTGCCTCTGTTCAGGCTCAGACCTGCTGTGCTACAACAGCTGATACTACAGTATTATGGCTCCGTACAGGGAAGTGTACAGTTTAACATGCTTGTGCAATCCTTAAGAAATTCCCCTCAAGTGTAATGCTGGTTCATGGCAAAATGAGACAGACTATTTACTGTATTTAGACAATATTAGTTAAGTTCTCTGTTAATAATTTGTTGATTGGCATGCTTTGGTTTGTACACTGTATAATATACTGAGGGTAAATAATTCATCCAATGACAAATTTTAAATGATGGCAAATTTATTCTGATTTTGATTTAAAATGATTTTTTTGGCAGATTAATCATTTGAACTAGTTATTTCAACAGCCCATGTTGCTTAGTTTCTGATTTTTGCTATGACGTTGTTTCATCATCGTGTGTTTGTTTCATTCACACATGTTTCACACACAAACTTTGCAAATATAGGCTGTGTTTCTATTCAACTTTGTGATGTTATATGTTAATACAGGAAGTGCTCTACTGTGTTTTTAAACTCCATACAACTTCACTGTAATCATTCCGTATCATTTCTGCTCTACAGTTGCCAAACTCTACTAAACAAAAGCTAGAAGGTAGCTTCTAATTTGAAAACTAATGCTTCAAGACATCATAATATTTTGTTCTTGAGAGATGTAGACAAACTAATAAGGATTAAAAATTTAAATTAAAAGATTACTCAAGCATGTGTGAATAAAACAAAATTCAATTCCAGGTTTGTTTTTTTGTTTTGTTTTTTTGTTTTTTGATGAGGTATTATAACATGGCTAATTATATATAATTTAGGGCCTTTTAAAGTTGAAATGCCTCTATGTATGCTGATTGGGATTTATAAGTTTGTTATTGATTGGAGCTAGAAATACAATAACACTTTGGTTTACCCTTTTACTGAATCTCCAGTATGGCTTATCAGAATATTTGTTATAGAAGAAATTACTGTTGGGCCTGTATTTATCAAAGTATGACAGACTTTGAGCTTTCCCATAATGCTTTGTGTCCCATGGCACAGCTGGCAGCTCCTCACATACTGTGGTTATCAGTACACAAGCACATCCATGTTGGCTCTTGTCTATGAACCCTTTCCTGAACCTAAATAGTTTTTACATTTAAATATAGATTCACAAAGTTGTCATTTTCCACTGCACTTATGGCAGAGCTGAGGCTGTGATTGCATGTTTAGGCTGCTGACATTTCAGAATCCTCTTAAACGGCTGTGACTGTGAGCTAAATGTGTGGCTTGTTCTTCCAGTATGTTCTGTCATCATTTTTCTTCATGTTGTCATTGGAAACATGTTTCAGAGTCATAAGAAAATCCATACATATCTATATACAATGTACATTTTGCCCCCTACTGACTTCAAGAGGTATATTGTTGGATTCTTGGACGTTGTTTATGCACTGTGTAACTTTTTTGGCGACGAGTCTGTAACCTGCATCTTTAATGTGTTTTTTTCTTTTACTTCTGTACAAGTAGCAATGTCAACACCATTTTAATTAAACACAGTCACTATAAATGTGCTGATCTTGCATGGACTGTATTTGAACCCTTTTTGTAAACACATGACTTCGTGTAAGAATAAAACCATTTCCCCTCAGATCATCAGGATATTCATCGTTTACTAATAGTTCCCTAAGTTGGTGCAAGAAGTGTTATAATCTTACTACTTACTTTACTCAGATGATAAAAACCCTAACTTTTACCCTTAATGCAACATCACTCTCTATGACAACAGGTGGCTGTATGTGCTATCATGAAATGGTCTTTCACTTTTCCGGCTGTGGTTTTGCCCTGTTGACTAATCACTAACTGGGTGCTTCATTTCATTGCAGTCTTGTGGCATCTTAACTCTTACTTTTGATTCGTTCACCTCCACTTATGTTTTTTTATCACTGGTGATTAAATTGTTTTTTTTTACAGGTTTTCTTAAATACATCGGCATCATCTTCTAATAACTAAACAATTTAAAAGTTATTCCAAACAGGATTGGGACTATATTTAAACCTTTTTTCTGTATATATTTCTACTTTTTAATATTATGTTTCTGTTTATGTTTGTTATGTTTCCTTGTTCCAAGAAACTACCATTTTATTTATTTTTTACTTTTGTTGGTCCCACTGAAATTAGTAATTTATTTTTATTTTTTATATTATTTTATTTTTTTGTTGAAATGGTCACATGCTTGAGTCTAAAATTTTAGTATTGTGACAACCCTAGTCCCAACATATTTGGAATGACAAAATATTTGGAATAGCATTGATAGAACCATATTATATCTGACCGATGTCGTAATGTAAATATTGTTTTACTTTTTAACATTTTCTCTGCCTGTGATCCCACCCAACAGAACAATGACAATGAGACCCCCCTGCACTGTGCTGCTCAGTACGGACACACAGAGGTGGTCCGGCTGCTTTTGGAAGAGCTGACCGATCCCACTATGAGGAACAATAAGTTTGAAACCCCCCTGGACCTGGCGGCTCTGTATGGCCGTTTGGAGGTGGTCCGACTGCTGCTCAGCGCCCACCCCAACCTGCTCAGCTGTAACACCAAAAAGCACACACCCCTGCACCTGGCTTCTCGCAACGGACACCTGCCTGTGGTGGAGGTGCTGCTTGACGCCGGCATGGACATCAACTATGAGGTGAGATATATGGCTATATGAGAAATGTCCATGTATTATTTATTTGCTAACGTGAATGTGTGTCAGTCACTAGACCAGATGGCCTATTTACAATATCTGTGTGCACATGTAAGTCATATAAATTATCTTAGTTACTTTCCTATTTTTCAGTGACTTTTAAACACAGTTCTACTTCCCTTATCAATTGTCATACTCCATACTTTCATTAGTACTTAGTTTATATACTACACTCTCTACAAGAATCACTCAAAGAATCACATGCATTTATTTACATTCACATGTTTTTGAATTCTTAATTAAAGACTAGCAGGTTTTGCACTGTGAAAACCAATGGATATATTTTTGGAGAATTTTGTTAGTTTTGTTCGTGATGGTTCATTATCAGTCATTCAAACCCTCTTTACCAGTTTAATCTGATCTTGCAGTACTTCCTCACACAACTTCCTACTGAACTACTGCAAAGAGCTAGAAGGTCAAAGTTTTAAGATCAATATAAAATGCAATAAGTGAAGATGTCCGACTCCCCCTAGTGGCCCCCATGGATTTTACGGCACCATCCATCTTTCTACAGACGCCTTTGCTTTCAAGTCTGTCCTCCTTTTTATGAGAACTAAGAAAAGAGTTGACTCAGTGTCCTTTAGGCCGAACATCCTGCAGGTTTCAATTAGCAAGGCCCTGTGAGCTGGATAAGAAACGCCTTTGATTTCTAAACCACAAACCAATCTTTTACTGGGACAGGCCTATAACGTGGTTGTTTTATCTAAGGTTTTATTAGAAAGTCTGGTATCACCTAAGTCGGTTTCCTGTATATCAAATAAAAAACACATTACAGGAATGTCCAAAACTGTATAATACCTTTTAAATCATATATTTAATTTGCTTACCTCGCACAATGGCAAAAAATTATTACTTATGTGGTACTTACTAAAATATAATAATTTATTTTAGAAAATTCATGTAAAGGTAGTGTGAGCTATAAAGAAGTCATTTTGTCAGCATAAACAAACATCAAAAAATACATAACTATATATCTGTTATGCTCAGTTTGGGGAAACGACTAAATTGTCACCACTGATGATGACTACAATTGTAGATGATTAAAAATAATTAAGAATAATTTCAGACCAATAATAGTTAACAATGGCTTTTGATAAGTGGTATTTTTAATTTTTAGTATTCTGAATCTATTCTGGTTTGATGCTACACACATTGTTATTGTATTTATACATTTTACAGACTTTTATTTCCACTTGACCATTAAACCTATGTGTGTTGTGCCCTTAGACGGAGAAAGGCAGTGCCCTACATGAAGCAGCCTTATTTGGAAAGACTGATGTTGTACAGAAGCTCCTCACTGCAGGTCAGACTATATTAGCATCAGAGCGCCCCAAATGTCATTCAAAAGTCTGTTTTAAACAACACAAGTTCATTTACTAAATCAACCTCCTGAACTGTGCCAGGTATCGATGTGAACATGGTGGACCAGAAAGGACTGACTGCACTGGACATTGTGAAGGACATGCCCTCACAGAAAAGCAGAGAGATTGCTGCTCTAATAAAAGGTACACTCAGGAAGGGAATATGTGGTTAAACATTTTGTCATCTTTTCTGTAATAATGTTTACAATCTGAATTTCCAGGTCATGTGTCAGGGAAACCTCCAGACATAGATCTCCCCCCTCCACCAATCCCCCCTCCTCAAGAGAGCCCCAGTCCGAGGAAAACAAGTAAGAGTTCCAAATCTTTCAATTGTTGTTCAGCAGTTTGTTTTTTGATATTTTGTTAATTATTTTTAGTTCCCAAAATGTCATATTGTTCTACTTCAAGAATCATACCGATAGGGCAAGACATGCTCCTTGAAGGTTGAGTTTGTATATGGTCTGTAAAACTAATGCAATAAAAGCACCCAGAGTTGAAATAAAATGTTTTCTAAAAAGCACAGTACCAATCCCTAGGGCAGGGAGTAAGTGGTTCCATTTCTAATACTATGAGCATTGCTGTACGTTTTAGACCAATTTTGTGGCTGTCAAATGACAAAATATAAAATATAAAATAATGATCTATGTATGTGTATGTTACAGTTTACCCCTAATTACTAGGGACAAAAAACATAATAGATCTTCTTTAATGGCTTTCTGTGTTATTATGTAGGTGACTTGGAGAAGGTGAGTGAGCTGATCTCTGGGCTAGCCCCTGGACCAGAGGAGGAGTGTCCGTATGAGGCTCTGTTTGAGGCTACTTCCTGTCACTCTCTGGACAGTCTGACCAGCGGCAAGTCCTCTGACCGGGACTCAGGGCGGCCTGACAGTGAGGCTGGGAAGGTGAGCCATAGCCCTATTAGTTTGCACAATTTTAGAATTTCATATTTTCAGTTCAGGAGCTGTCTCATCACTTACTATATTGGAAAAGAAGATAATTTAGATATATGATAATGTAAACGTCTCTTTTCAAGTTTTAATATACATTTTTTGTGTTTTTTTGTTTTGTTTTTTAAGATTATAGCTGTATCGCATTTAATTGAATCTATTAACCCAAACCTGTAGTGTGCTTAACTGCCACAAGGGGGAGATGTCAACCCATCTCTCAAATGACTTTGCTACAGGTTCTCTGTATTACAAATGTATTGAAACTGAATGGACTTATTTTATTGTGTAGAAAGATCGAGTTGGCACTTTGTCTCATCCTGGGGCTGGTCCAGAGGAGGAGGTCAGCTCTGAGGTAAGGATTTTCATTTGTAGTCAATGCTGTATCATAGCAGGTAATTGTTTTATTGTTTTTCCTTTATAAACAATTTTATATAACATTCCTGCAACAGATTCATCCATAAAGATAAAACACTGGGGGGAAGTGGAATAGTAATAATGAAAAACAATACACCTATATTCTATAATACAATCTACTAACTATGAATACAGTTTTATACTATTTATACTGACAGTGGATATTTCTTTGATACTGTTACTGCTACAACTTGACAGCTTTAAATGTAATTGTTTGTTTTCTCTTCCCATTGTTTTCCTCAGGCCCTGTACACTAACAGCAGTATAGATGAGAGAGGAGAGCAAGGTGAAGAAGATGAGGACCACACTTATGAATTATTACTGACCGCTCAGACCAAAGTCCCGCCTTCAAGTCAAGACTCGCTGCCACATAAAGGTAAATACATTTTTTTTGTATTTTACTTTTATTTCATTTTAGTCTTTCACTTTATCAATTATTGTTCATTGTTGCTACAGTAACAGTAACCCAGTAGTGTGGTGATCTGGCATGTTGTTACACATTCTTGTTGTTAGCCAATCGCACATGTAGTACTGTACATTGTGATTAGGTGTGTCACATTTTGATGACTGATGCTTTAAATGCTTTTTTTTTATACACACATATTTTGCATATTTTGCCTGAGGTCTTCTCTCAAACAGAAAATATTCTGTTCCACCTTGTGATGTCAGGTGGTAATACAGGAAGTGCTCCACTGTGTTTTTAAACTCCAAACTCAAGCCTTTACTACATTCATTTGGATAATTTAAGACAAGGAATTTCCAATTCTGCTGAACTAAAAATATAAGGTAATTGTTAATCTGAAAACTACCACTACCTGACATCACAAGGTGGAACAGAGCATTTTGAACTTTGGAGAGGTAGACAGACAAATAATAAAGGGTTACTCAAACAATGTATGAATGAAACAAAACACAACTCCAGGTATGTTTTTGAGGAGAAAATGGCATTATAACGTGGCTTAAAGCTTAGAGTCACTTTTGTATAATATCAGACTTTTTAATATTGCTTGAAAATGTCAAATTTGTTTATTATTATTTACTGAGGTCTTACTCTTATATTGATCTGCATAATTATGATTATCAGTGTATCAAATAATCTTGACATCCATATCTATTGAGTTTAGTAGGCATAAGGCCAGTATACTCTCGAGTTTTATAAGGACATGTTCCCCTGTAGTTGAGGAATGAACGCTTAACCAGCTGTATCACTTTTTTTCTATTGGGCTGCACTGGATTCAGGTAATTGTAGAGTGTGAACTACTTTTTAATAAACGCCGTACAATGAGCAAAGGACTTTTGATTTTATCCACTGATGTAGAGATGTTATGAATGCTTCCCCTTTGGCAATTTATGAATCATTAACTTCAAATAATAAAATGTTTGCCCTCTTTGTCATCTGTCCTTGTAGTAAAATTGAAAACAAATAGCCTTTTTCTCAGTATGATAAATCTTTCACTTCTCTGTTATGTTTGCTCACTAACCAGCAGATTAGCAGTTCAGTCCTCTATACTGCCTATGTTGGAGTCTTTGTGTCCTTGGGCAAGACACTCCACACTGCTTGACTTCAGTTTCTGTATACACAAGTGCCTTTGGATAAACATTTCGTAGTAATGGTTTATTCATTTAATCATTAAGCTTTGCTATGTTTTGACCACATAACTGTTTAAACTTGTTTTTTTCCCCCAGATGTTTCTACGAGTACACTACAGTCTTCCAATAATGTCCTACCTCAGGTATTTGATTTTATAAATGCTTATTTTTAACATAAATGTTTTGTTAAACTTTCTCTCACTTGGCTTGGTGACATTTACTGCTTGTCTCCATGGGGATCTATATGTTTAATCCCATATTGTAGAATATGAGGTGAACTAACCCACTTTACTTGTATAGCACATTTTATAAACAACATAGCTTACAAAATGCAGCACATAATAACAATGAAAAGCAAAATTATAACCAGAAACATTATGTAGTGTACTTTAATGTGTTAGTAATACAATACCAGGGACAATTCATCATTTTATTTATTTAAATCTTACTTAAATATTTGGTGATTTATTGTTCTTCTCTGTTTGGTTTGTGTCCCTTCAGCGTAAACCCAATGTCCCTAACAACATGAAAGCCCCCTGCAGGATGAAAGAGAGCCTTCACCCTCCTGCTCGGCTCGCCCCGCAGGTGTCAGGAGGAGGTGAGTGTGTCCACAATTCTCATCTATTGGTGGTTTTTCAAATTCTAAAATGTGATGATGTCGCAGATGGGAACAAGAGCCAGATTTCTCTTACATTGCAGTTTTAAAGATAACCGCTACCTTTTACCTTTTGTTTAGTAGAGAGCAAGGTGAAGTGAAGTTGTATTGAGCTTAAAAACACAGTGGGGCATATTTCCTGTCTTACCACATGACATCACAATGAGTGTTTGCGGTTTGATAAAAAGAAAAACTTCAGGTATGTTTTTGATGAGGAAACAGCATTATAAAATTGATGAAAAAATAATAATATGGGCCCTTTAACATTATTGGTCTATACTATAAGAACGTTGTGTTGTGATGTCGTTTGAAACCTAGCAATAATACTGTGAAGTAGTACCAGCCAGTACAGGGAGGAGCTGTGTGAAGGAGAAGGAAACTTGGAAATTGAACTGTAACCATTTGACATAAGGAAAATAAAATTCTATGCAATGAATATCAAAACCACAGAATATAGAGACTACATTGGACTTTGTGGGCATGGATTAGCTCTGCAGCGAAATGCCCGAGTGGCAATTCTACACAGCGGATTTGACTTGTTGAGAACAGGCTGATTGACATTGCTTGGCCAGTGGGCAACCTCATCTCTGTGCCAATGTGTAAGAGAATACTTGATCAGATTGCAGAGTTCCCATTGGACATTCTCATCCCAAGATAAAGCTGGATATGCCGTATCTTCCAGTCAACCATGCCTGGCTTTCAGCTGACACATGCTGTAGTCATATTTGAATTCAAAAGGATTGTGTGCCTGTTTCATAAATATGCTGGATTCATGTGACATAATTACACTCTAAATATATCCTATTAGTAATGACTGACATTAATATTTCCTGGTTTCTGGAAATATCTCAGTAATTAATTTATTGTTTGTTATAAAAATGTGTGGTTTCCCCTTCCAATAAAATGTGTAATATAGGGTTTACTCTCAGGCTAGGACTGTTCTGTTAAAATGATTCTGACAATAAGATTTTCCTGGTTAAATAATAGAGAAAAGTCACATTAGACCGAGCCAGAACTGGTCCAAATTTTACATTCTTCTTTGTCAGCAAAAATAATAAAACTAAAGATAATTATTTTTATCCCATACTTGCAAAATTCTATTAGACAAGCACAAATATATCTATTATAGTTGGCAGAGAGAGCTTCAACAGTAATGTACTAAATTTATGTACAGTATTTTTCGGATTATAAGTCGCTCCAGAGTATAAATCGTACCAGCCAAAAAATGCGTAATGAAAGAAGAAAAAAACATATATTATTTGCACCGGACTATAAATCACACACATGATGGTTTCGTTTGTCACTGAAGTCCAGGCTTTGTCGATCCATTCAGTGACTTCCAGGAAAGTTGCATGGCGCACCCACCCGGTTGCCGTAAATCGCCATCCCCGCTTTCTGCCAGTCCCTCACAACTTTTTCGCTCACTCCAAACTTTTTGACTGCTGCTCGATCACCGTTTACAGCTGAATATTTCACTACTTGCAGCAGGACAGCGGCAGGAGACATGCGCAGTAGGGCACGAAGTGACAGTGGTACAGTAGTAGCAGATACTGACAAGCCTAGAGTGCCCTCTTGCGGCTGTCAGTGTGAAAATTTTAATATATAAGTCGCACCGGAGTATAAGTCGCAGAACCATCCAAACCATGAAAAAAAGTGCGACTTATACGGTACCTAAATCCTATTTTTTATGGTTCAACATTTGTTTCTGTGTTGTCATCATATTCTTGAACATAATCTCTACACACTGACCATCAGATGTTCACCAGTATAGCGGCTCTTGTGATAAACCACCATGTTCAGCTCCTGAACTCTGTAGGTCTAAATATAACCACAGAGAAAGTCATGACAGTGATAAAGAGCATCTCCTCTCCTGTTTGTTCCTCTTGGGGCTAGTTTGTGTTACCCATGTGCACCTTAACACCTCATCTGCCAGGTGTAATGTCAGCATTTGTGTGTATATACAGTATTGGTATTATCAAATGAATAGTGTTTTCCTGCAGAGAGTTGTCCATCTTAAGTCAGTAGAATTTTACAGATATGTTATGAAGTCATAGCATGTTAATTTGGCAGTATATTAAGCCAGATGCTCTTCTTGTTGCAGCTAATCTCATACATATATTGTGAGTGAAGTGGTGTAATCAATGTCTTACCCGGGAACACAACAAAAGTATACTATTTACAACTTACTGCTTACTAGGGGTGTAACAATATCCAAGTCTCACGATACGATATTGTCACGGTATGAACCTGACGGTATGATAGTTATTGCGATATTGTGGGAAAGTTCCTGATTAGGGATGTAACGATATCCAAATCTCTAAGTACGATATTTTCATGATATACATCTCACGGTACGATATTTATTGCGATATTTTGTGGAGGCTAAACAGCTAAAACTGTTAATATGGTACTTTTTCCTCTTAAAATGCTTTGACAAGACTTAATCCAAAGAACTAAGACTTTAAAGTACTTAGAACTGTTATTTCTTCATGTAGTCTACACTGAAATGGAGCAAAGGATTATGGTCTATGTAGTTCCCTTTGTCTTTTTTAGCTATTGCTGCACCATAACTCTTTATTTAAGCAAAGAGACTTGTAATTCGATATGTGTACGATATCACGATATTTTGGTTATTGTTACATCAATACTGCTTACTGCTTTGTACTACTTACTACTACCACTACTACTTACTGCTTACTGCTTACTTAGTTACAAATAAAAACAATACTTACAAAGTTCTGTTCATATTAGATGGATATTAGTAGGACATTTATAGTCTCTTTACATAGCCACAGTTCTTAATCTTATGAATGTCCTTTGGTATTAATATAATGACAGGCACTGCAGCAGATGTCCATAGCAGCTAAAGACAGACCACACCTGTTAAACTGTCTACTGCCAAACTTGTATTTTACTTCCACTCATAAACCAATGTCATTTCTCAAGAGTTTACGGTTTTACCTTCTTGTCTCTTCAAACTACTTGCCCGGTCAGCCCATAGTTAAATGTTTCATATCTCTTAGAAAAACAGCAGATTGTTCCACTAGCAGAGCATGACTTGCCTCAGAGACTATGTTGACGGTGAGGTTAGACATCATTAGCAAAAACAAACATGACCGCATAACAAAGATATGAGGTGACATCAGCCTGAAGGTTCTAATAACACTAGATAAAAGCTCAAAATGAACAATGACTCAACAACGTGGTTCTGATTTTAAACACTGGCTAAAAAACAAATTCAATCAGTTATGCATTTGTCTTTGCTAATAATGAAGAAATACCTGTGCAATTAGAGCCCAAGAGTCTATTAAACATATTCAATCATTGTTAAAGCCTACTTCAGTCTTCATTTATTTAGAGCTTATTTTTTATTTCACTGCTGGTTTATATAACTTGCAAAGACTACATCTCCAAATGGTCTAAAGTAAAATATTATTCAAATATTTATTCAATAAACTTAAAAGGGTACTTTGAGTAATCCTCCTGGTCAAATATGTGTGGTTTTCTAATTCAGACCTGGTTTAGTCATACTCAAGACATTGAACAGACCTGGTTTAAAGCCTTTTTAAATCGTATTTTGATCCAGTTCATTTCTGTTTTAGACATTCTTGAGTCCTAGGTTATTGTTGCATTGAATTCATTACAATTCACAAATGTTACTTCTATCTCAGGTTATGTTATTTAGCTTGTGTAGGGTTAACAGTGTGAGTGTGAGTCCTGGCAGGTCTGTGATGTGCTCACAGGGTGTGGACACTGTTCTGGTGCCAAACTGAGGGAGGGTGTTTGGATGTCCTCCTGGTACATGTGTCTCATACACTCATTCACCTTATTACACATACAAACACCTCCACTGCACTTTCCACTGCTTTTCTTATGGGACCACAGGGCGTTGGTTCTCACACTTACACGCTGCAAATGAACCCTAACATGTTTACGAGACATTTTTGTAATCTTCCTAAAGAGTAAACCACGTTATCGTGTTATTACCGCAACAAAAATATACCTTGTGTTTTGTTTCGTTCACACATGTTTGAGTAATCTTTTATTATTAGTGTGTCTATACCTCCAAAGCTCAAAATGCTCAGTTCCACCTTGTGATGTCATGTTGTGGTTTTCAGTTAATGACTACCTTTTCTTTACTAGAGATTGGCAGTTACAGGGCTGAAAGTATCCAAATGATTCTAGTGAAGTTGTATGGCGTTGTAAATGTTGTAAATGAGTTGTAATGAAACAACATTATAACAGATCAGAAATATGGGCTCTTTAAAAGCTTTAACTAGGATTTTTTTGTAATGATTTATATTTGAAGACATTGTACTGTATGTTGTAGCAGTACTATTTGAGTACTGCTATTTGTCAGTATTAATATAATGACCCTACTCTAGTACAATTTGTATCTGCTCTACCAACTATGTGTCAGACTACTGGGATGAATTTGCACCTTATTACTTTACTACATTGTGTGTGTATATGTGTGTGTGTGTTTTGCCCTTACCTTGCCCCAGTCTACATTTAATTTATTGGAAATATCAGAATTTGAATATTCTGTGTCTAGTTACAACAGCACCAAACCTAAGAATTAAATGTTGCTTTTAAGTTATACTTTTAAGTTAGTACTGGATATTTTGTGGACAAGAACATTTTGGTGTCTACATTTTGACTTGAATACTATTGGAAGTAACAATACTTTTACTCACTACATTGTTTTTGGCCACACTGCCCCCCCTTTGCTCACACTTAAATGTCTCAAAAGCCCCCTACACACATTTACATAGCATTTTCCAATCATCTTAAACACTTTAAAGAGCAAAAAGGTGTTACCAACCGCTTGTTTCCTGTTCTAGATTCTTGTCACCAAACACCATGACCCAGTCCCCTCTGCTTAGACAGTCTGCACATACGCGTCGCCTCCACATGTGTCACAGGGCTAATTATCAGCGGCACGCAGGATTGGACGATTCAAATTTCCATTCCAGAGCCGCCATTACAAGGCTAGATTTAGAAACGAGAAACAGAGGAGATTGAGTGACACGCGACAGGCAACAACAACAGCCAGTGAAGAAGAGGTTAGCGAGTACACGGCTAGTTTAGGAATAAAGCAGTTTTGTCAGTTTAGGTGGGGATGAGAAATAGGCGTGTTTGGATGTGATTTTTGAGGAGGAGGGGAAAATGGTCCTAAGGGTGCTTAACATTCAGTGAGGAGGCTGGTTGTTTGGACGAGACAGCTGATGTAAGTGGAACCGCTTTTTTAGTATTTTAGTATACAAGATGGTACTTTAAAAAGATATGAAATACTCTTGAATTTATGGAAAAGGTCAGTAATGTTGAACTATTTTATTTTATTTTATGCAAGTTAATGGGGGAAAACACTAACTACTATTAACCTTTATTGCGTTTGTACAGTTTTTGGCACTGTTACACTGTGGAACTCTAGTTGACTAAGCTTCTTTGGTAATTGACAATGTATTTCTGTGTGTGTGTTTTAAATCTACATATTTCTTGATAATTTATTTTCAGACTTTACAATTATTATTATTTATTTAAGAAACAACTGCACTTTTAGTAGCCTTAAAGCATGAACAAATAAAGGAACTACTTTTAATTAAGTCACTAAGCCTGAATCATTATATAAACAAAAAAAAACAAGTTTATTACTAATTAAGTCTTTGTTCATGGTTTATTATTATTCTTATGTCCTTATTTTCTAATGTATGTGGATATCTTTGGCTTGTGAGAATCCATGAAACAAGCCTAACATAAGCATATAGCTGACTCCAAGCTGTGTTAGGAATTTTGTTATTTCTCAAGTCAGCATACATCCTCTTATTCTCTCCCTCTTCTCTCTGCTCCCTCCTGGTTGGAAACAATTACAGATCTGTTTCAGTGCTTGTGTGGGAGGTTTAAGCACTGCTCCAAGTCTCTGCCCCTCAGTCAGAAGTCCACTTTTCACAAGGTTCCTTCTCCTCTCACTGGTAATTTTTGTGTCTTTATTTTTCATTTCTAGACTCAAGCCAAAATCAGGGAGCAGGATTCCCAGAACAGTTCACCGGCCTCCTTCACGGATCATCTCCTGTCTTCGATTGCCGAGAGGAGCCATTCAGAATCCCCGGTGTGGCGTCGACCAATCAAAGTCAGTCTCCAAAACCGAACCAGGAAGCATCTGTAGCATCTCCTTCTTCATCGTCATCGCCAAACCGTCCCAATATGGCGGCTATCCTGACAGACTGTGATCCCAAAGCTATATACGCCACTGTGAACAAGGAACCAAAAGACTCCGGAGCTGCCTGTCGGACGCGCCCTCCCGGAGACCTAAAGCTGGCCAGGAGTCTATCCAAATCGGACTCGGATCTTCTGGTGTCGCCCCCGAATGAAGAGGATGGAGGATTGGCCAACCGCAGCGAGTCTGTGTCTAACTGTAGCACGGGGAAGAAGAGGCTGGAGAAGTCCCCCTCCTTCACATCAGAATGGGATGAGGTATGTATATACAGTATGTCAATACAGGAGCACATTTAGCATGAATGGTAGTAGTACACTGCAAAAACTGACTTGAATTTAGAATCTTAATCTTAATTGGAGAGGCTTTGAGATCTATATTGACTTGTTTCGATATTTCATAACATTTAAAAAAAAATTAAGCATAACAGTGTAGTTTTTCTTGTTTCAATTGCAGTTATCTTTGCCATCTTGTAGATATGTATTAGCTTGAATCAATTAGAAACACTTCATGATAAAATTTATAAACAATTTAAAATACTAAAGAACTCACAATCAAATCTAAATTCAAGATTAAGATTATAAATTCTCTTTCTTAACTTGTGTAGATATATATTTTTAGCCAGGCTGGGGCCACCTAGTGCCTCCACTCAATTTCATTTCTCTCCAGCGACTAGGTCAGGAATCTGGATACACTAGACATTTTGCAAGAACCTCGGAAGTGCGAGTTCAGGCACCAGCCAATCAACGGAGAACCATATATTCTGTGTTAGCAACGATTCCCGAGATCGAAGATTTAAAGCCAGAACAAAGAGAATGTTCAGTGAATTTTAAGGGGAAAGACGTTATTGCCCTTCTTTCTAAGGGATCTGGGAAAAGCTTAATATAACAGTTAGCCCCGTTAGTGCTGCATTACTTACATCACGACCAAATAGCAGCGATTGGTTAAATAAAAAAAAGTATCTGAATACCATCGAGCGAACGAATTCTAACGCTGTGAGGTCAGACCATGTTTTCTACAAAGTGAAACCGGCTGATGAATCAGACTAAAATATTTTTGCACTGTAGTACAAATAGTAATTGTATAACCAATCATGATTTTGTAGTGGTAGTACTAATGGAAGGAGAAGGAGTTTATTCAGTATTAGTACATGTTTCCTAATATATTGTGAGAACGTGAGCATGTATTGAGAAGTATGTGCCAAGCTTGTTGTCCTGGATTCCTCTTTGGAATGATGTGTTGTTTCCTTCACAAAGCACTGTTTGTTAGTTGTGCGTCAGCTTATCCATGGCTAATACCACATTAAAACATTTGTGTGTACCAAATGAAATACACTGTTAAACTTTCCATGTCATAGCCTTGCCAGTTACAAAAGCCAGTCATCTAGAAAATGACTTACTCTCTTGTTACTCCTACATACAAATTCAGGTTTCACACAAAATTATATTGATTTAGTCTGTTTTCTATATTGACAGCCAAATAACACTGCAGTATGGTCTTTGATGTTTTGTCTAGCTTGCAGATAAACTGTTGAATAGTGGTAAAAAGCGAAGATTATGGAAATGAAAAGATGGAAAGGAAGAGCAGATGAAGCTGGTGTGGTATTTGGGAAGAGCAAACACATGAGAGATTTAGCTATTGTCTCTTTCTCTCTGAAGCTGTAGACAACAACACAAGGCTCGGAGGAAGATGAGCCATTTCAACTAAAGTTCACGTTGGAAGGTTGTCTAACAGCCTGGCTCAGTATAACAGGGATGATTTCGCTATAACTACAAAATCGTTGTCCGATCCACTAATTATTGTGAGACGATACACCACAATTTCATGATTATTAACACCCTGGCTAAACAGTCAATCAAAAATCAACATTTAACAGATTCACTGATTAATCTTGAGAACCCTACCTTATAGGGCTAGGCAAGGAAAATGCTTAAATCGTTTAATCAGATTTTAAGTTCAAATGGATTTGTTTGAAGAAAATCAAAACAGTGTAGAAGTAACATCAGATGCTTTCACTTTTAGCTATTGCATTATGGTTAAGCCTTTTCTATTTACAGTTCACAACAAAAATGAGCTTATATTATTCACTGCACTACAGCTTTAATTTAAACAATTATACTTCTTTTATGTTAAAACAATTTCGCTCAGCCCCACTACCTAATGTACATTTATATCTTACCTCGTACATTTCATAACTTTTGCAAGTGCTGGTCGTTTTAGCCTTATAAAAGAAAAGATAGTCATTCAAACCTGAGATGGGGGGCTTCATTTATTATTCATGCATTAGCATTGTAGTATTTATAATTGTATGATCTCAGCTATGTAAAGTGATATTTTTGTTGATTTGCTTGTTGCTTGCTTCCCTAATCCAGTAACAAAGAGTGTAGGTTGGGACAAACCTGTTTATTTCACTTTTTGATTTGACATTTTTGAGCTAAGCTTGTGTTATATCGACTCATTCTGGCTAACCAGTGTTAAATTCTCTAAGGCGCTTTAAGGCTTATTTGGAAAGTAGGTTTTGTGCGACAACATTTAAGTTATTTATGAGTACTTTCCCCCCAATAGGTGTCATTTACTAAACAGCTGTCACACTAGATTTTCCTTTTCTATCACACAGAAAGCAATGTCCTTTAGCTGTGAGCAGTAGTTCTCGAATTGTGATAGAGAACATCTTCAGTTTTGTCTTTTTTTTTTTTTGTCATAATATTTTGTGTCTTTTTAGTTAGAGCAAAGAAGGTTGACATTTTAAATTCTGCTCAGACCTCTGCACACTGTCATTGTGGTCTTGAGCAAGACACCTCACCCACCTTGTCTGACATGAATGTACTACTAGTGTGTGAGTGAGTGATGTGGTCAGAGGGGCCAGTAGTACAGTTTGGCAGCCTCATTCAATCCCAGGGCAGCTGTGGCTATAATAGTATCTTACCACCTCCGAGTGTGGAGTGAAAGAATAATGCATTGTAAAGTGGTTGAAGTTTCTTGACTGTATACATATATATTTAAAAAAAACAAGCGCAACAAGCTCCAACAATAATTGTTTATTGTTGGAGCTTGTCCTGGTTCAGATCTGATTTATACTATTTGTAGTCTTTATTTAATCCTGGTTTGTCCCGTCTCAGACTATAGTTCAGATTTAATTTTGATTGATTGCATTTATATAGCACCTTTCAAGATACCCAAAGCTCTTTACAGTTCAATATTCAGTCACTCCACACTCATTGGTGATAAGCTACTAATGTAGCCACAGCTGTGCTGTCTCAGAGTGACGGAAGCGAGGCTGCCAATCTGCGCCATCGGCTCCTCCGACCACCACCATCACTAACGCACACACCACTTTCATATTAGGCAGTGGGGGTGAAGTGTCTTGCCTAAGGACACAACGACAGTTTTTGCCACTGGCGCCCCACTGTGGCACCTGGAATTCCTAGTGGTCTCCCATCCAAGTACTACCCAGGCCCGACCTGCTTAGCTTCAGAGATCTGACGGGATCAGGCTTTGACAAGCTGGTATGGCCACATTTTGGTCCTGTCCTGGTAGTCCTTGGAAAGCATAAAGAAGTGGTACTTGGAGTTTGAGACCCCCCGTCCTGGAGATTTCATTCTTCAGAGAATAAATAAGGCTGTGTTGAGCAGTGAGTTGAAATGGAAATATTCACTCCACCGCTGCTAAAGTGAATGGTAAATGAGAGCCGTGAGGGAACAGTAGTTAAAGTTTGATTGGCTGAAACCTATAGTGCACTCTCTTTAATGAAGTTGGAGTAAATTGAAATCTGCTTTGAGTGCTGGGGTTGGTTCTGTTGTAACTCCTCTGCCCTCCTGTGCAATAATACCTACGCTTCAATGTAAAGTAGGGCTGCAACTAACGATTATTTTCTTATTGATAAATCTAAGGACAAATTTTTTCGATTAATCAACTAATCTATTGACTATTTTTTGATTAATTGGTTAATTAAATTATAACTTTATATGACTTTGTAGAGCAGTTTGTTTAAAATTTTTCATATAGTTGTTTTTATTAGTTAGACTAATATAAAGTGTATTTTGTCTTAGGAACATTGCTGAGTATGTTAAGGTGTCATGCAAGACAGTTAACTTATAGGGTTCAATACAATGACATAAAGTGTTGCTGAAGGATATAATGTACAGGCGGTAATACAGAACTACAGTTGTGGTCGGCCCCACACGGTCAGACCGATGGGTGTTTAAAGAACAGCTGACAGCGTGTTCTGTGCTGCGGTCAAAGTGTAGAGTACAGTCCGCGGTGCGTCCGTATACAGTCTGCTTTCGCATGTACAGTCCGCGGTGCTACGCGCCTTTACTCTTTCAATGGTCTATTGTGTGCTTTGTGTGGAGATCGTGGAAATCTACAGCACAGATGTTTCGAGCGAGCTTGTTCCTTTTGTATCTGACACATTAATTAAAGACTCGGCTCTAAAGGCGACGCATCGATGCGCCGTACAGCCGTCGACGTATTTTCTGATTCGACTTTGTCTATTACATCGTGGAATTGTTGCTGCGGTAGTGAAAAGTAAAAAGGATAACATCATCTCAAACATGTTATTAATTGCTATTAGAAATCCAGTTATCAATTCTTACTTTTTCAAAGCATTTTCAACCATTTGATAGGTAACATATGTGAGTAACCAAAAATTTACTTAGTAGTGTGACTGTTATTTAGAAAATACAGGTTCAGTTTTGGTGTGTGCAAGATTGATAAAACCAAAATTAATCAGACAATGGTCATCATTTGTAAAATGTGGATTTAAATGGGGAATAAACAGTCACATTAAACACAAAAAGTCTTGGTCTTTTAATACTTTTTGCAGCCTTTTAAAATAGTTTATATAGTAGTTTATACATTAATTATGCATCTGTCCAAATAAACAACAATTTATACTATCGATTTTCATACATTCCTTTACTCTAATTCAGTGTATACTTAATCTAACAGGATAATTGTGATTAGACTAGCAATGGAGGGAAAACCCAAGGATGCCAGGCATATTGTTCACATCTACTCAATTAGAAACACTTTGCTGAGTTGTGACAGCACTTGGCGAAAAGGTCTAGGCAGGAACTAAACCCAAATCTAGTGCACTGTAAAAAAAAAAAAAGAATCTATCCATCTTCTTTTCTCCAAGTTCTCACAGTCCTCTACTGCTTCTGTCTTTCCTCTCTTTCTCCCAGCTCCTGCATAGACTACTCTAGCTTTGAGTACATTTGACTTGCATGAGGTCTTGGCCTATGCATCCCTCTATTTA